TCATAAAAAATTAAGAAATTGGTTTTTTTTATAAAAATGTCACTGTACAGAGCTATTTAAATCTATTTTATTTTTTATGAATAACGTCATTAGCATATACCGTTTTTATAAATGAATCTTGTAGCGTACATATATATATTTTGGCTGGCGAAATATGTACTTTTGCCAACTAATTAAAAAAAGCGTATGATTCAATTTAACCACATTAAAAAAGTATTTAAATATTTTATGGCGCAACACAGCAACACTTTTTGTTTCACGAAACCCTTGAATACGAGCCTGTCATCTATTTCTTCTATTTCGACATTTCGCTATTTTACATTTCTTTCATTTAACGTCATTCGCATTGTCACATTTCTCAAATTCGTTTTTGCTTCGACATTCTGCTATTTCATAATTATTTCATTCTCATGTCATCCATCTTCCATTTCTTACCTTCCATTGCCGTTCGCATCGTCGAACGTGCCTGTCAAACACTGCCGCCATCATGCTTTTCAGTTTGGCAGGCACGTCCGCTGTTTGGCAGGCACGTCCGTTGTTAGAAAGAGAATAGACAAAAAGGGGCATAGGATTCCATACTTGTAAGTATATACGATGCTTTGAGTATAGAAAAAATATATTGTCATATTTTTTCATTCCTGAACTTTCCTTTGTGCGTTCAATACATTCTGCCTAATAAATTTTATCTATATTTATAAGAAATACCTAGATCTTTAATAGAATTGAATTAACTTTTTGGCTATTTGAGGGAGGATTTAATGGACGGTTAGGGAAGCATATAATCTTCGCCTTCCCAAACGACAACTCACGTCACATCCGATCACGAGACAAGTAACCACGAACGCAAAAGACGCAAGGGCTTCAACGGGACGTTTGCCACGGAGGACCTGCGCATCCTACTGATCCAAGAGCCGTGAACAGGGACCATATCGGGGTCCTCAATCACAACAGAAAAAAGGGAATTGGGATCTCTACTGGGAGAGACCCAGAGCGTGTGTAGTGCTGCAGAAAGATATTGACATTTTCTGCAATAGAGTTTTCAATAGCAGATCACACGATGCCCTCGTCTGAGCTCTCTCAGTCTGATCCATAGGATTATCCGATAAGAAGGTTAACTATTTGGAGTTAAAAGAAAGGTGCAATAGCCCGGACGGCACTATATTAGATGTCTTAAGCTCTAGTTGTTCCGTGACCAAGCCCAAAGGGAAGTCTCAGCTTACCTGGTGGTCACGGGAACTCCCCGCAGTCAGGAAAGAGGTGCAGTGTCCTTGGGAACCCACCCAAGCATCTTCCCAGCAGAAGTCTATGCCATTAGTCTGTACAGAGGTTAACCTTTGTAGGAACTATCGAAGGCCCCTCCCTTATAGGCTTAGGCTTATATTAAGTGATACTCAAGCGGCACTTACGGCTCTCTCATCCTTCGAGGACAAATCCTCACTGATAATGAAGTGTATAGAGAAGCTTTATGCCGATGCAGATGAGGAAGCTGATCAGTCAGCCAGAATGGCTGATACCTCGACCCCGATAGGAAAGGATTAGAGAACAAGTCAAGTACTTCACTCTCAGCAACAGATTTTGCAAGCCTTCTAATCACGCAGTGGTATGTTTATTTCTGAGCTCTCCCAGTCTGATCACATGATGAACTGATTTGTACTGGGAATCCCAGCGAAACTGATTGGGACAAGGATACTTGTATTAAGCGAGAGTCATGCGCCACCCTCCCGGGCTAAGAATTATTATACAGGTATTTTGAAAGGGCTTGTAGGCTAAGAGGCCACTTGCAAAGGCTAGGAATCTGGTCAAATTACCTCCTCCGGCGGTGAGAAGGAAGAGGGGCAAAGGACATCTGTGGCCAGGAGAAATGCTTAAGTTTGATACTTTGATGGTTTTTGTTGTAGAATCAACTCGCCACTACTGTACATTAGGGTGCATGATTCTCCATACGAAAAAAATCTATACTATTTTTCCATCGTAAATATAAAATTTATTTAGTTTTAAAACCTTCGCCAAAATATTTAGAAGGCCTGCATATCAACGGAATTAAAATACTGAGACTTTTGGATGTATTTTCAAATGCGTCCAGCTCACGTGAATCTTAATATGTTTCCGAAATATTTTGGCGGAAGTCTTAAAATAGAATACATTTTATAATTTCATTGGAAAAACAGTACCGATTTTTTTTTGCATGGAGAGTGATGCATGCTAATGTACATCAACAAAGAATCGTAAAAAATAAATGAAACCACATTTTCTTACACATTATCTATACGGTATACTTTTTATTAAAGGGTAAGCTTTTATTTGTTATTATATGTAATATTAAATTTTTATTGCTGCTAGCATAAACTTCAAATAATTAAATATACAGACATACATAAATAGTATTTAAAAATATTTATTAAGTTTGGTGGTTATTTTACCAAATAGTACATTACGTATACATACATGAATACATATTTATATTAGTTAGAAACTTACATCATAAACTTGGTCATGAAAATAAATTTTCTCATAAAATAATTTTTAAAAAATAATTGCAACACAACACAAATAAAAAAAAAATTGCCAAAAAATTTACTTTTTAAATGATAATTTGATATTTTCGATACTTTTTTAATCATTCAGTACATATAGTTGACATTTTAATGCTACTGAGGAAAAATTTAACTTTCAACACGCTGGCTTTTTTACTGCTCTAAATAAAATTTAAGAACCATAATTAGTAATTCTTCAAATTTAAATTCGCTAGTCAGAGTTATAGAGAGTTTCCACCACAGTAAAATTGCGCAATTTCAACCGTAAATTACAATTTGAAATTAAAGCTGTTTACACGACCATCTTAATTTCAATTTCGGTTATTTTTTTCGGTTTGGCTGCTTTGTTTATAATTGCGTGTTATTGAGGTTTGTTTTTTCTTCATTAATCATTCACAATAATTTTTAGTGTTGTATTCGCCAAGTTGAGGCAATTTTGTACGCGGAAATTGAGATTCGTATGGCGACTCCAGCTGAAATTGAGAATAGTGTCGAAAGTGCGCAATTTGGGTGTCGTGGAAAAACTTGTTTCTTGCCACTTTAAATGCTGTACGCGTGTATGTATTTATAAAGGTGATGTTTACGTCTATCTGTTGTCGACTCCATAATTTTTGACTCGCGAGCAGAATAACTCGCGAATAAAGAATTTTCTTGCTTAACACTGAAGTCATGAATTTAAAAATTAGACATTTAGCAAATTTTATTTGTTTTTCAAACGAACGCCTGTACTTGAAAATATTTCACATTTATAAAATTAAAATAAAAAACAAATAAATTTACCAAATAAAAAATGGCACAAAAAAACAAACTTACTTTAAAGAAACCACGATTCATTAAAAATGCAAATTAATGCCTACATACAATACAAAAAAAATATTGCGAAAATCCCAAAAAAAAAAAAAAACGGCTCGCAATTAATAACAAATGACCTATACGGAAATTGCTAATTGTACGGTAATATTATTTGTGTATAACTAATTCTATATAGTGCGTATTATTGCTTGACACAAGTACATACATACAACTAATTGCTTATACTAAGCGGCTACAAATTTTTTTTTCAATGTTGCTATGCTTGTTTATTGATTTGCTTATGGATATTAGGGCGCAAAACTCTTTGCAAAAAAAAATTGAGTTTGAGTCTCAGCAGTATTTTTAAGGTCGAAATTTTCTCAGAAAAAAAAATTTTGCGCAAAATTGCACACCCAAAAAGGTTAAATGCATTTGCACCAAAGTCCGTTGCTTTACTTAATATGTACAAAGAAACCGTTAGAAAGCAGCTTTTATAAAAAAATTTTCATTTTACGGTTAAATGTACACAAAAGAATTGTTTTTGATTTGCATTTTTTTTTCATACATAGTCGAGTCCAAATTTTAGGCAATGCTAGGCAATTTTCTTTACAAACGACTCGCAATGAGGTCGATTATTATTGTTTTTTGAGTCGCGAGTCGAAATGTTAAATTCACACGTACAAAAAAAAATTTATATTGCTGATTTTGGGTACTTTCCTACTAATTTAAGCTCGCGTGCCAAAAGAAAAATGTTAGATGCAGTTGATTTATTATTTTTATTTTTTGGCCTACATTTTTTGGTGTACTCCTTTTGTTTTTGAAATGCTACTACTTTTTTCGGAGCGTTGAAATTTAAAATCCTAGAGATTTTTTTCTTTAGTCGGACATGCTTTTTTTTGGCTCGCGAGGTGAAATGTAAAATCAAATGAAATGGGTGATAAAATTTAAGTGGCTTTTTTAAATTCGCGATACATTATTTGGCTCGCGCTTTGAAATGTATAATTTGAAATGAAATAAATAACTAAGGAGTAAAAAAATAAAAATCAATGGATTTTTTAGAATTACTCCTTTTGTTTTCGACAGCCATGACATTTTATGGTATGCCAGTAAAATTCGAGAGTCCAAAATTTACGCGATTTTTGTTTTTCATCTAGTACTTTATTTTTTCTTTTTGTTTAGAATCGAGAGTTGAAATATAGAACGTATAAGTTCAAAATGTTTTGGTCATTGTTTCTGCTTAAATTTTTATATTTTATCCTTTTTTTACTTGAAATTTTTTAATTTGAAATTAGCGAGTGATACAATTTTTATACTTATTTATTCATATTCACGACTTGAAATATTAAATTCACGAGTCGTACAAGTTTTTTTTATATTTAATTTTTTTTATTCGCGAGTTGCATTTTAAAATTCGCAAGTTATAAATATTTTTTGTACTCGCGAGTTGAAATTTAAAATTTACGAGTCGCAGAAGTTTTAGAATTTTTTTATCTATTCCTAGTTTAAGGAAATACCCTAATTAGTTAGTTATTTCGGGGTTTCCTTGTAAGCTTGCTTTGCGTAAAATTATTGATAGTATTTAGTACTTGATGCTTATAAAATATTTATGCGATATGCGATGTGTGTGAGTAGTTCTTTTCTCTTCGTATACAACTTCCTTCGCGTGTTTTCTTGTTTTTGTTTTCATTTGTTTGCTATATTTCTAAAACACATTTCCATCTTCCGTCGTACATACTTTGCTGCTAATGTTCTTAAATGATGTGCTTACTTACAAATCTACAAATTATTGATGATAAATCTTAAATGTTTTCTAAAAACTTTCCCCTTCCGTTCCCCGCCAAAGCGTACTACGCGCAATCAATCGATTTATTGTTTTGTTTTACTGAAAGATCGCTGCACGCTGTTGAAATTGCAAACGCCTATTGGCGCGCTCTTCTTCTTCGCGACGTCGCTCTTCCTGCTCCTGTCGTATCTCATCGTGAAATTTATTCGAACGCAGTTGTTGTTCAATTTTAGCTTCGAAGAAATTTTTCGCGCCGGTAACACCCACCTCCTCTACATTGATTTCGGTGAGTCGTGCTAGCTGATTGAGACCCGAATCGTTGTCGAGTTCTCCGGCTTGCGCTTTGCGATAGATTAGCTCCTCACGGAATGAAATTTTACCATCGTGATCCTCATCGACTTCGGCAATCATTTGCTTGAGACCCAAGTGAGTTTGTGGTGCGCCCAATTTTTCCATCATGAATTTCAATTCAGTCAAATCTAGGTAGCCATCATGACCGACGTCATATCTGGAAGTAGAAGAAGAAGAAGAAACGAAATTGAAATTAATACTCGAAAGTGTGGAGGCTTAGAAGAAGAGACTTAAATTAGAGACATACATAAATTAAAAAAGTGTATATAAAATTAAAATTATATTGCTGCAAGACGACTACAGTTGTTGTAGCCATTTTTGCAGTAATTCGTCAAATAAAATGCATCCCAAACCGTTGCCAGGTAAAGAAAATAGTCAGGCTAACCGCACGTGCAACCCCTAATTGACGAATTGAAGCGACACAATTGCAAAAAATATTGCAAAAAATAAAAACCGAAATTGACTAGAGAAAGGCGACTGATTATACCTACATATGTATGTACATATTTACTTTTTAAACAAAAGTATGTATTAGGGTGACTCTTAAAAATTTAACATCTAAATTTTGTATGGGGCACCCTTTTGTTTGGTTCAACATACAAAAAATACATCCACGAAAATTAAAAAAAAATTAAAAATAGGGTTCGCTACCAGCCATAGTTGAAATTTTGGACTGGTGTCATTTAAAAATTGCTGGAAGATTAATTTTTTTCTCAAAATTGAATGTTTTTTTTGATAAATATGTATATCTTGAACGGGGTTTAAAAACGATTGTCTAAGCTCGAATTAAAAAAAAATAAATTTTTTTATCAGCATACGGTGAAAGCCTAAAAATGTTTGTTCAATATATTTTTTTCTTTGAGAGCAGCCGCCATATTGGATTGGCCATTTTTAATTACGCGATTCTGACATCAGAATAGTATTCAGTTAACCCAAAAACCCCGCACTTCATCTAGAAAAAATGCATAAGTTACGAGTTTTGGTTAGCAACCGCAATAGTGGACCGTATGAATAAAAACAAAGCAATTGTTTTTTCTTGAAATTTCAGACCTTTTACTCGATTTATTCAAATAAATAAAAGGTCTGACATTTTAAGAATTGTTCAGTTTTATTCATACGAATTCAACGACCTCAAAAACGTTTTTGCCACCTGTAAAATTTGAAATTTGTTACCAAAAAACTTACTTATATGGAGTTTAATGGTTTCTTAAAAATACTATCAACTTTGCCATATAGTGATAAAAATATCAATAAATTTTGTTTTTTAATTCGGGCCTACACAAAAATCCGTTGCAAGTATTAAATTATTCAATTAGTTAAAAACCTTATTCGTCCAGTAATTTTCAAACAAAATCAGGTGAAACTTTCCCACTGTGCTAGGACTCGAAAAAATTTTATTTAATTTCAAAAATTGCAAAAATTCGACACAATTGTGATTTGAAATCTGACAAATTTGACATACTATTGAAAGTTATTCATATAAATTTATAAACTCGCTGAGTTATAGCTGATCAAAGTCAAAACTTTGTAGAATATTTGATAAAAAAAAAATAAAATTTTTTCAAACCCCAATTTTTTCAATTTCTTTATTTTCGTGGATGTCTTTATTTTACACGTAAAACCAAATTAAGGCATACGCCATCATGTTGATATTTTAAGTACCATCCTAATATGTATGTTTACTCTGCCCAAAAAATTGAATAATTGTGGTTCAGGCACAACAGTTGCACTTATTTTATAGCACATTTCGTTGCACATTTTGTGCTGAATTCCAACAATAAAGGGAGAAACAAAAACTCAGTAAAGCCAATGGACTGACGACCCTTTTAAAGCGTGAAATTTGTCATAGTGAATTATTTAGCGAAAGTTTTAGTTTATTTAATGTTAATGCAAGCAATTGGAGACATGAATGGTATGCCAGTAGTAATCAGGAGCAGAATAGTAGGAGAAAGTGGCAACGTACCAAAATTGTAGAATAAAGGACTGGGTGGCGAGGACGCCTGCACTCAGGCATAGTTGCCCATCGTAAATAAGTACTTAAGTTATAGAGAAGGGATAAAAAGGGTGAAACAGGTGAGTATAGAAAATCATTACTCCTCCGCAAACTTTGTACTTATCTTTGTAATCTGTAGAGAGAAAAAGCAAGTAACACGAAAATGCACCATTTCAGTCGAAAGAACGCCTTATAGGCGCAGAGAAGACACTGTACTAAATATCCTGATCTTCTAAAAGAAATATATACACATCTATGACACCTAAGACATCCCAGGATCCATTGATTTTTTCGGCCGGAAGTCCGATCGTCATGCTACAATCTTAAACACCGACTTCGATACAACGCATACCTACGTGTTCCTTTCGCTACGTAAGGACCCAAAAAGGGTTACCACCTGTTAAAACATTTAATTCAAATAAAATAAACGAATTATTACGATATGGGTATTAATCGAAATGGCTTTGAAAAGGATTTATTAGTAAACTACATGTAGTAGGGTTGCCACCTGTTTGAAATATCAAATTCAACTGGAATTAGGTGAATTATTGAATTGAAATATGAAAGAGGCTTAGGCTTAAGAAGGTTATAGTTTGAAAGTTATATGAAATATTAAAATATGGGTGTCAAGCCAAAGTGTTAAACAAATTTTAGTTTGAAAATATAGAATATATTTTCAGGTGTTCTAGAGGGCCCACTGTTCAAAAATTGAATTCAATTTTATTTAACAAGTTAAATAAATTATTACAATATGGGTATCAATCGAAATGTCTTTGAAAAGGCTTTATTTATAAACTAAATGTAGGAGGGTATCCACCTGCTTGAAAAATCAAATTTAACTTGAATTGGATAATAAAAATATGTATCACAATATGGACGTCTGACGAAAGAACCTTAAGAAAGTTATATGTAATTTGAAACCCTTTTGGAAGATGGTTAAGAAAAAGGTGTAAATCTCCAATGTTTTTGGTTGAGTTTATGTATGTAAGTTTTATTGAAATAAATTACATCTAATGTAACACGCAGAAGTTTCATACACTCAGCGAAGCAAACTAATAAATACCTAATGCAAGTTTGTACCAAGTGGAAACCACATAAGACGACACGAAACATAATAACAGTAATTTATGCAATGCAGGAAAACCAACATAAACAGGGAAATGATAAATGATGGCGGTGGTTGGTGGTAAAATAAAATTTAAAGAAAAATATTGTACAAAATACAAACACAAAATTGCAAATATGTAGAGGGAAATTAAGCGAATTTCTGTGGTGAAGCGCAGACAATGTGTTAACGTTTTTTTTTATTTCTAAATATAATCGACAGGCATGGCACGCGGCCATTAAGCGGTGTAGTCTATGTGTGCATAAATTTTGTGGGCTTGTAAGAAAAAAACGCAATAAAAATACATCATAATTGAATTAAAATTGCAAGTAAAAATATAGATATGCACATAAAGCATGTGCACAAAGAAACACAAAAATTACAACAAAAACGAAGGAAATAAGGTAACAAAATAGACTAAGGGCCGTTTTCTAATGTAAGCAGTAAAGTTGCCTTTACTAACAGGG